AATCCTTTTGTTATAAAAAATTATCATTTGCATGGTCATAATTAAAAATGATCATGAATAATCAATACCTTCATTTTTTCACTCTCACCAGAATACCATGGCTCTAACAATCCAGTAAGTTAGAAGTGAGAACTGGAGGAAGAAGCAGTATTCTCTGCAAAACAAGACAGTATTCTTCATAAATGCTACATTTTCTTTTTATTAAAAAGGAAAAGGAAGCAAGAGTTCCCTTACTCAAGCCTTAACACCTTGTTTATCTTGTCAGGGTAATAGAACCAAGGTTTGCGATGTGGATAGGACACCAGTCATTTCCCCATCTTGTTTTATGACCCATGGGATGGTTCCAACTTGTAGCCTACATAGAACATACTGTCCTGGAAACAAGGAATGAGTCTGACATTTCACTGGGACAAAAGACTCCTCTCACAGCTAACAATATTCATGGGTCAGGAGTGGATCTCAAAGTAATTTCTCTTTCCCCAAGTACTCATTCGTTAAGAACTTGCCGATATAATTTTCACCCAATGTGTGTTGATTGAGGACCATAACCTGCCAAGAACTCTGCAAGAAGCTGGAGGAATCTTGATGACTACAGTTGGGGCACTCACAGAGATTAGCCATGGAGCGAGGCCAACATTCAGTAAAAGGATGCAGAATTTCAAACTGAGCCAAGAAACAGTTCTTTAAAAGTATAAAACCTCTCCCCAGCCTGCAATGTCAGCAAAGACTTCCCTGAGTAAGTGACACAAGAACTGAGTGGAAATCTCTTGGAACCACATTCCCAGATTCCTTTTATGGCAGGTCTGGTTAGATCCTGCCAATGAGAGGCACCTGTGTGAAATCTAGAGCTCTCTCCCAGGACTTGAATCTTAATCAACAGCATGATGTAAGAGCATTGGGAGGAGGGTGAAAGGGGAGCCATCGGCAGAGAAGATGCCTGACCAGACATTTCTGGTTAGTGCATCTCTCCCTTCTCTTGGTCTCCTACAGTTGTCCTGATTCTTCATCATTCCTAATCTGGTTCCACGGACCAGATACTGGGGCTCTGGATATCCTTGCCATAAATTCCTTTTTGCTCAAGGTAGTCAGAATTAGCTTTTACTATTTGCATCCATCAAGCAATTTGCTTCAGGTAATACACCATGCTGCTCTCCATTATGCATGTCTATCTCCCCAACCACACTGTCAGGTTCCTGAGAACTGGAGAATGTCTTATTTCCCCTTCGAGCCTCTACGATGTAGAGTACTGACTGCCTGACACATAAGAAACACTCAGTAAAAGCAAAAAGAATACAATTTTCCATATGTTCAAAAAATAAGTGATTTGCCAATAATAAATATAAAAGTGCAACTGGATGTTTAAACATCAAGCAAGAGCTCAGTTCAGTTAAAAAGTCCTCCATAACTTACATCAACTTTACACTAACATGGAAATCTCTACGTTCTAGAATCATCTCCTCAGATCCTGTTTTTTGATAAACTTCATGAAGAAACCTAGTATGCTAATAACCATACTCCTGTAGCATCCTTGCTTCTGAGCTTATCATTATTCAGAATTTTCACTGCCATACTTCCAAAATGGCAGACTAAAGCTGCTGAAGTAGGCAAGTCCATAGACGCCACCCCAGAAGCCAATTCCACTCACCTCTCCCTGCCCTCTCCAACCCACAGGGCAATCCATGAAGCCACATGGGCAGCTAGTGAACTTGACTTCCAGAGAAATCACCATCTGTTTTTCTACTAATAAATAAAGTACCTCTGCTCTATAAAATGGGACTGAAACCTAGAATGAAAATGGAGATAGAATTTTTGTCGAATTTAATGGCTTTTTAAAAATTTCTTGGGTAGTAAATTTATGTTGCATGAGCTACGTAACAGTCTGAATTTGATCTGGTTCAAATAATGCTACCATGTCCTATAATCCTGGGCACTATACACTTTCCAAATGTACACTGTCATCAAGGTTTTATGACATTTCCTACAAAAACTCAATAGCCAGGTAGCACTTCATCAGATGAAGTCTGAATTCAGGTATGAGAACAGAATACAAAGGCTGCAGCTTGAAAACTGTGCTGCTCCTCTGACTTCAGCATCACAGCCATAAGAGGATACTCTACTGAACAATTTTCATACCTGTACATTTTTGTCCCTTACTAAAAGAACTCCATGGCTGGGAATTATGGAGTAGAGCCAAAAGTATGGCAGTAAAACCAAAATCCATGCTCAATGACTGCTCTTTTCCTACAAAACCTTGCTCAGAGATACTCCGTCACCCGGTTCTCTGTTTATTCAACTTCACTTCCTTCTTCAAGTAACAAAATGCTCTGAGCACTGTGTTCATGCCTGCTGCCTCATCATGTGACCTATTCACGTGGCTTATGGAGGACACAAGATTTCTGAGACCCAGGACTCTAAAGGCAAGAATGACAGATACGAGGTGCAAGCCTAGCTTCGCCAGGTTAAACATGGCTATGAAAGGAGCATACCCATTTCTATTGGCATCAAAACACAGTGCTGGTTGCCAAAGAGTCTATAAGAAAGAAATATTAAGTAATACTACATGTCTGACATTGACATAAGTTTATTATTTCTTCCATGCCAACACACCCTAATCCAAAGCTTATGCTGTTCCAATCCAGGCCTGCCCTAAAACAGCCAATTATGCTAAATGTGGTCAAAACTCGAAGGAGTCTCCAGTCCCAAAGACAATGTTTCATTGGCCCATTAGCTTCTGTATTAGTTTCACATTTTGAGCTGGTTTCTGAATTGTGTGCATTACTTCTTTGGGGATTATCTCTCCTTTACATGGCAGGTATAATAGAACTCCTTCCCCCACACTAGGTTGTCAGTGGTATTATTTCCTTCTCAAATGGATTGGTTAACACTCAGTGAAAAAAAAAAACAAACCTGAAGCTCAAGAACTGCTCTGAATACACATGAAATATTTCCTAATCCATTATCTACATGGTTTAAATAAGTGGGATTATAATCATGTTCCCAAAGGAGCCATAATATACCATTGGCTTTGTTCTAGAACTTCCAAACTAGTCCCACACCTTTGAGCCTTGCTTTTGGAGCAAAGTATAAAATTTTGCAAAATGTGCACATCAGAAATGTCATTTGTCACTTTTGCATTGAAAGTACCTTCCCAAATTCTTTACCGAGAACATCAATGTCATTTATTCCTCAAGAGTCAGAGCACTTAGTCTCAACTCCTTGTAAAACAAGCAATTGTGATGTTCTTCATTGATTGACACCTGGTATCATCATAAAACCTGACGTCCAAAGGAAAATGAGGCTTATTCTCTCAAATTGTTATAACCACTTTATTCTATTTTCTCAAAGACAAAAAACCAAAAGACTTGCATCTAGGTTGCATGACCTTGGGCAAGCCTACCATAGGCTTCAGTGTCCTTCAGTTTCCTGGGGTTAATAACTATACACGCCTCAAAGGATTATGGTAAAAAAATAAGTAAACATTGCATATAATGAGCATAGCAAAGTATCCAGCATACAGTGTTCAACACAAGTTCAATAAATGTCAGCTTTTATCATTATTCACTGCTGGGGATTTTAAATGAAAAGTTTTCTTTTGAATCCTTAGTACCTGCCCCAAGAATTGCCATTCTGTCTCTCTGTTAGTCCTATCTGCCCTTGATAGCCCCATTGATTCAAGGGTCCTTGGTCACATCTTCTGAGCTCTCTTCTATACATCTGTACCAATTAGCTGGAGTTGCAAAGGGAAGATCAAACTACCAGAGCCTTGTCTGTAAAGATTTCAACAGAAATGAATTAATAATATGATCCATCAGATCACCAATACCCTGAGAGTGAGGATGGAAGCCACAGGGGCTGGGGGTTGCTTCAGGGGCATGTGACTTATATAGCAGCACAGGGAAGGCCCCATGCTCAGAAGAGCCCTGGGCTTGGTTTCATGCTCATCCAGAAATTCTCAATAAAGTGTGAATGATTTTCATTTTGCAAAATTATGTAGGTGGTTACTATGACTGGAGAGTTTTGATCAGACTGATATAAACTGTTTCATGTTTTAAAAGGCCTACTCCAGCTTTTATGTTCAGAACAGCCTATAGGAAAGGTACGGATGGAAACAAAAAACGGCTAGGATGTTGCTGGTATAAACAAGGTAGGAGATGATAGTGGCAAATAACACCAGAAGGAGAGGCCAATTAGAGTTCATTTGTCAGCAGCTGTAGCCTGGGTGCCCAGCAACATGCCTGTTTATGGCAGCGTCCCAGCCAGCTGGCTCCTCCTGCCCACCACCGGTTCCTACCCAGTTTCCATGCTGGTAGAACACGGGAATTGAAAAAAAAAAAAATCAGGGTGGATTCCTCAAATCTGGATCCCTTACAACAGAGAAAATGAGCTGCTGAGGGAAAAAAAGAAAAGAAGGGCCCTAGCTAGATCAAGCGTCTTCTGTGTTAGGTGACTGTAGTCAGGAGCTTATTATATATTGTCTCATTGATTCCAGTTAAGTAATAGAGGTAAACAATAGTCATCACTCACACACACACACACACACACACACACACACACACACAAAATCAGTATGGGCTCAACAAGAGTAAGATGTACTAAAACATACATAAATAAAAAATGCATCTAAAATATCTTAACGACCCGCAGAATACATTGCGCAACTTAAAAATAACTAAAAATAACTAACTTTTCAGACTTGTAATTATTTTAGATGTATATCCATATTTGTATAATTATCTCTATATTTAAGCTAGAAAATATAGAAAGAATCATCACTATTTAGTTTTCAGGTAATCAAATAGAAAATTCATCAGGCTATGCTAAAAATGGCATGATACAACAAACAGTAAGTTAAATACCAGTACGTGAAAAGTTTATACTTCCTAATCTAAAACTTTAAAAAAAATAGTTTCTTCTCTTCCATGTGCTCAAAAATTTCTCTGAAATGACAGAACATGGATGATTCCAATTCCCAAGCTAAAGGGCTTATGTCAGCTACTCACCTTCTTCTGAAGAACATTGATTTTTCTTTCCTTCACTTCTAACATATCCTTCATGTCTCGAATCTCTCCGGCCAGTGTCCCCTTCTCTTCCGTGAGGTCCTGCAGCTGTTTTGTTTTTTTATTGAGAAAAGATTCTTTCTCCTCCAGTCGTAACCTCAGCGCATCTACCTGAAGTCAGGAAAAAGAAAGAAGGGGGCAGTTTTACACAGTGGTCATCAGTAACCGTCAGTCATGCCCTGGAAGGGAGTGGGACAGCAGTGTGCCTTTTCAGCACAGCATGGTCGTACCATTGCTCATGCTCATCTCAATGCCATGTGTTTTAACAGCCTGTATTTCCCTTAAAGTCCCATTGTGTGTGTATCTGAACAGTGATGCTTTTTTTAAAATCAAAAGTTTTTATGAAATAGTAGTATGTCTCCCTGTTACGAACCCATAAGCTGGAAAACAAAGCACATTGATAATCCATTGTGCAGGGAGGGTACAACCTTGCTCAGGCTCTGCAGCATCCTCCAAGAATATGGAGAACACAATGAACCATGCCACAGACATCTGGAAGAACAAGACTGACAAGTAGAGAAACACTCCTGAATTAGAAAAATACAGGTTGCCAAGAGGAAGGAAATGCTATGGAAATGACCATTCTCCAGTGTTATGAAAGAATGCTTTCCAAATATTAAAGAAACAAAAAAGATACAAAAAATCCTATTTCTACCTTAGCTCAAAAATTAGATTATTACAATTCCTGCTTTTCAAATTCAGTAATAAAATGAGGAAACCTAAGCTTTATTTTTCACACTTAATATTCCAAAGACCAAGTGCAAAAAAAGTTTACGTGGGTAACGTGAGATTTGGGGGTGATGGGAGAATTTAATCCTCACCCTCCATACCAGAAATTTGATGGATAGTAGCTACAGCAACAATCAAGAAATAATGAGTTGGCTAACTGAACATAATGAAAACAAACAAAATAATAAAAATTAAATTATGTTTGGGAGGAAAAAAAAAAGAAGAAGAAGAAGTAGTAGTGAGGCAAGCATGTTACTTAGAGATACCAAAATAACCAGGCAAAAAGAGTTAAAATAGGTTTTCTTGGGGAAGAAGAAATGGGATAGGGGTAAGTAGGGGTCTGCTGCATCTCATCACAAGTCTTTTTGAGCATTTGTCTATTATACTACCAGCAAATAAAATTTGGACCAAAAAAAAAGACAAAAATGTTAAAAAGAAAAAAGAGGCAGGAATACCATAATAAGCCAAAATAAATAGATATATAAATTCTATCAGGACACAGATTCAAAAGGCAAGTTGGCACACTGGAAAAGACACTTTGGTTTTAGGCTGGGTTCTGCTTCTATCTAGCTATGAGGATTAGGACAAAAAACCAGCCCTCCAGCCTCAGTTTCCCTATCTATAGAACAAAAAGGGTGGAACCCCCTAAGTGTCTGACATTTTTTTATGTTAAAGGCAAGAATCAGTCTTAGGTAGAATACATCAGGAAAGAATGATGATATTAGAAATAAAGTTATCAGGGGCGCCTGGGTGGCTCAGTTGGTTAAAGCCTCTGCCTTCAGCTCAGGTCATGATCTCAGGGTCCTGGGATCGAGCCCCACATTAGGGGTTTCTGCTTAGCAGGGAGCCTGCTTCCTTCTCTCTCTGCCTGCCTCTCTGCCTATTTGTGATTTGTCACTGTCAAATAAATAAATAAAATATTTTTTAAAAAATAAAAAAATTTAAAAAAAAGAAAATTATCAGAGTAGAAACTCCCTTTTTTACCCCTTTCCAAGAAAGAAGCACTAAAGTTGTGTTTCTAAATGTCAAGGGTGATGGGAGGTTGATGAGTAGAGAGTTTTTCCAGTTTTTGTTCTAGAAAGGAGGTCCCAGCAAGGGAAGGGGTGAAACAAATGCTTGAAGCCCAGTTGGTAGAAGGACCCTGGCCACATTATGAAACAAGATGGACATTCTGTGACCACACAAGGTGGAAACAGTAGATTCCTTAAACATCTGATGGCCATGCCTCTTCTTAGATAAGAACCATAAAAATCTAGGGGCTGGGAAGTGAAGGGGATATAGCCACTACTATAATCTGGAGTGCCATCTTTTATGTATAAACTAAAAATCGCATTTTTTTTTTTATTTTTTTTTTTTTGCCATATAGGATGAAACCCCAAAGAGATGTTATTCTAGTTTGGTAGATGGAGAGGACTTGAAACAAAGATAGGTCATATGAGAATCTGGGATGCTTAAGCTTTAGTGCAGCTGGCGTGAATTTTCATTTAGTCAAGGGAAGATCCCCAGGACATGAATATCCCCTTCACTTCCCAGCCCCTAGATTTCTATGGCCCTTACATAAGAAGAGGCATGGCCATCAGATGTTTAAGGAATCTGCTGTAGTGGCTAGAAGAGGTTACATTCAATTGTAGAGACTTCCCACAGGCTGACCAGGACTCAGTGTGAATCTGAGAAGAAACTGTGGTCCCATTAGTCCTGCATTCTAGCTGTCAAAAATGGATGGTCTATATCTGGAGTAGAGGAAACACTCAACATTCAAAACTGTGATATAAATAAATTACAACATGGGAGGTAGTAAATTGTGCTGGAGAGAGTTTAGAAAAAGACACTCTGTAATGATAAATAATATGCTTAACATTTACTGTGCCTTCTTGCCACAAGTGATCTACTAGTGTCCTGCCACATCTTTCTGAGCTTAGAAGAGACACAACCCTAGGTGTAAGAATATTTCTCCAGGAGTAAGATAGAGAGTAAGGATGGCCACAATCAACACACTGCTCACAACACCCAAACTCTAAATGGTAGGAAACAGCCTGTGCCAGCTAAGGTTTTCTGTTTGGGAATTTATTTTCCATGCACCCAAATGCATTTATTAGTTTCAAAGGAATTTTAATCATGACCTTCAATCACTTCAGCCTACCCTTATAGCTTTGCAGTCTCTTAGAATCAAGACATGAGGTTTAAGGGTCTATTTTTTAAAAAATAAAACTTTGACCTGAACTGCATCCAATTCTAAACCAACATTAGCCCAGTTTGCAGTAAGCAAGTATGACATCATTTCTAAAAATCAAATTTTAACTTCCAGATGGTGCAAAACCACAAGCAGGCACACAAGCCTCCTGATACACAGAAGTTTAAATACAGGGAAGATCAGGAAAGAAAGAATACAGTCAATTAAAAATTTGAATATATATTTCCAAATTAGGTTCTCCTCACAAATGTCTGGACTTCACTCAACAGTGTATATCATTTATAAAAGAATCAGAAAAGTCTTGACGGTTAGATTATATTCCAACATCAGGTAGAGACATAAAAGTTAAAATGTTTGGGAATATGAAATACCTTTCTCTGCCTCTTCACTCAACACCAAATAATTTTAAGGGCCTTGACTCTCTCTCTCTTAAACTTTGGCAGTTGACTCAATAATAAAACTTGGCAAGGCAAAGAACACCATCATTTCCCAGAAAAACAAAAGAAAATTAGAACTATATGATATAGTCAGCACACAAAGACCCATAGGCTGAATTTCCAATTTTTACATATGACTTAACCGCATGGGAACTAGTCACCTAAAGTTAAAACTAGGACAATCTTTTCATTTAGGAGAATTACTCATTTCCTTCTGATCCAGTTGTATGTGTATTTGTGTGTGTGTGTGTGTGTGTGTGTGTGTGTGTGTGTGTGTGTGTGTGTATGTGTGTGTAAGCGCTTGTAACTTATGAAAATTTAACCTTTTATCCGGCAGTATAAAAAATTAAATATTTGTTATCACTTCAGCTCCAGGTACTAACTTGAAAGAAAAGGACCATGGTAATAAAATGGGCAAAAATTGCCAAAATCAGAGTTAAATATTATTAATCTTTATGTCAGCACCCAGGAATTATAAGCAGTTCCAATGGTGAGGTATGTTTCTAGAAGTGCTATACATAAGCTTCCCGACCTTTCTGCTGTATTTTGCATAGGCTTCGGAAACAGTTTCAATGTTGTGACCAAACACTAAGTGCTACTTGATGTGCCATAAATAATTTTTAAAAAATCAAACGTAAAATGACTACAGCAAAACTTGAGAAAATAAAAAAAAAAAATTTTAAAACCCTTGAGAGGGGAAAGGAGCCACTTGAAAATTTTCGCAGATTAAATACAATTTACTTGACAACACTTCAGGAATTGAATAAACACACTATCACAAAGAACAATTTTAAAAGAAAATGAAACTGGAACACTCACAAAACTCCCAATATAGTTTTATTTCACATTCAAAATTTCGTTTGTTTGTTTTTCCTAATAGCAGACTTGGATTAAGGGTATATTTGAATTTGATTCAACTTGCAATCATTCAAATGGGGAGAAAGTTTCAAGTTGAAAGTATGTATGATGTACACAGCCTCCAAAGACCCAAACACTAAAAATAACCAAAAATCGAAAACTTGCTATTGTGGTAACCACTAGTTCTCACTCACATCCAATTCTCCTTTCCTTCCTGAACCCAGGGAAGATCTCCCTTCCCAGCCCCTTGCAGCAAGATGGGGGTATGTGTTTTATTCATGAAATGTAAGCAGAAGTGACATATGTCACTTCCTGTCCATCCATCCCCACATTCTTTCCCTTACTCAGAGATCTTGAAAGCTACATTTTCCAGATGGTAGAGCTGTAAGATGGTAGAACCCCCATAAATCTGGATCCAAGTGACCATGAGAAGCAGGGTCACTCCCTACCTTCTGTTGCTCTAATCCTCAACCCTCAACATGGGCTGGATTTACAGTATCATGTGTCAAACTACTCAGAGATTATTATAATTTCCACTGGTTTTGCTAAGGAGTGGGTACCTTAAAACTAGAAAGGTCTTAGAAATTGCTACAAACCTAAAAGAAAAAGGGCCATTATTCCTCCCTTTACTCCTTCTATGTGTAGGACCTCAAAATCTACTTTCCCCTAGCCTTTCACCCCAAATCCAAAGAAGGGGGGTAAAGACAGAAAGCAAGGACAGAACTAAATGGAGCAAGTAGCGGAACCCTGGGGAGTGGACACTAAGGTCAAATGTCAAGATCTTGGGAACAGAGAGAAAAAGATCAAAGAGGAAGAACACTCTGAAGCACATTGGTTTGAACTTCCATTTGTATAGTAAAGTGGCCCAAGTGGACAACTCTGTTTTGCGAAAGTCT